AAGCAGGGTCTCTGAAATTGCAGGCTCGATTCAAGTATTTAAATCTGCCCTTTAAAAGAAATAATGTGTCCTTGGGACATCACCTGTCTCACAAGTACTCCTCATAAATAGAAGTGAAGCTGATGCACCTGCACCCTTCTGAGCCTAAATAGCACTGTCCTCTTCTCCCACCCCAGATGAACCCAGGCATGGTGCTCAGATCAAACACAGCATCCCTCCACTGCCCTTCCTGTGCTGCTGTGGGATTCAGGAAGCCTCAGCACTGGGAGCCATGGGATGACTGTGGTGCAGCTTGAGCACACCTAAGGTTGTTACAGGCCTTAGCTTGGCAGGTAGTTCCTCTGATGATTTTTTGAAGAAAGAAGGCTGTGCTTGCACAGGAGGGGATACAGAAACACTTCAGAGAATGTATTCCTGTTGGTTTAAAAAGTGAGGTTTTATGAGAATCCTGGAATTTCCATCCCTCCTAATGAAAGCATATTCCACAACGAGTATATGTTCTGTTATTTCTGGGGGAAAGGGGACAGCTGCTTTCATACTTCCTTACACTTGAAAGTGTCAGGCAGCTTTTCTGTTTTTTACAATATTACAGTATTGAAGCCAACTGCTTGATAAATGCAAATAGCATTGCCCCTGTCAGAATTGGAGGCTCAGAAAGAACTCAGGTTTTACAGTGGGACAGTGCGGCTGTGAAAGGCTCAGCAGCACAGTGTAAGACATTCCAATACTCCATTTACTCAAGCTTATCACCCTTTCTGTGATTTTGTGACTCTCTGTCCAGCTCCCCCAATTAATTAGCTATCAGTTCTAACTCAACTTTATTTTTTCAGTTTCCACTCCTTAATCACATTCGCATCAGAAATTGGAACAAAATTCTTAGGTCTTTGATCTAATCTTCAGGAAAACTGCTCTGGCCATTTTCCTTTTTTTTCCTTCCTCCTCCTAGCCTCCCCCTGCTCCTCTGTCTGGCATATTTCCATAGTGTTGTAGGGCCCAGAATTTCCAAACTTTTGGCTTTTTAATGTTGCCTGTGATAGCACCATGCTCACAATTGCATGACCTTGCAAAACTGTCAGCCCCAGTTCTTGAGTACCATGTGTTTATCATCTTTATGGTATCAATACAGTCATTCATCTTATTTTGGCAGAACAGCTCCATCTTCTGTTTTATTTTGTATTCTGGAAATGCAGGCTAGATAATTTGTGCTCAGAACAAGGTCTCTCATACTCCTGCTTCCTACCCGTTCTGTTTGCTGGTTTTGAACCTGGTAGGTGAGCTCTCTATGTTAACTGCTGGCAGTCTGGCCCAAAATGTTGCCTCTGCCACAGAAAGCAGTCCAAAGCTCTATAAAGCTAAAACTTTCCATTTTTTTTTTTTACAGCCAGCAGCGTTCATCAGACTGCCTGCAATATCAGTATTTTCTTGCCCCATTCTTGATATATGGGACTCCAAAAGCCAGAAGATTTCCCCTCAGGTCACTGAGTCATTATTAGCTGTTTCTGGTTTTTTTAATTTTTAATTTTCCACAACTTGCTCCTCCCTGCCTATGGAGACAGTACTCCTTCGTTCTCTGTTTTTTTTGTTTGTTGGTTGGTTGGTTGGTTTTCATCATAGTGGGCTTAATTTTTGCTCAGGAGGCCTGCAACTTTACGTAATATTTCATCCTGGTCACATCTGCCTTGTTGAGCCACCAGTCGTAACCATTACATTCCTTCAGTTCTCCCATTTGAGACTCGGTGCTGGCAGGGACACCATGAGGCTGCTCTGCTTTCTTTCCCCTGATTTTCTGCTTAGTGAGATAGCATCTTGCAGTTTTGTTTCTCACCATGCCATACTTTGCCCTTCCTCTTTCTCTTTCATACTGGAGATCTGCACGATGCTCTGCCTTTTTCTCTTTGCCCTCCCCAGATGATGTTCTACCACTCTGAGCAGTCGCTGCTGAACTAGCCAAGCCTTGCTGCCCCAATGGGTGGTTTAGCAGTGTATTTCCAGTGCAGGGAGGCAGACGGAGAACGACTATTGAGCAAGGCCTCAGGTGCATGAGGGAGACATGCCTGTGTCAGAGGGGCTCCTGCTTCTTGGCCTGGAGGGCGCCATTTGCTTTTGATGGTGCAATAGTTCTCTTTGCAGTTGAGGCCAGCGAGTAGAGTATGTTATGAAACGGATGTGTGTGGCCTGACATAAGGGTAACTCTAGCCGACAAAATAGCATTAAAATACTTTCCATTTGGAGATGGAATTTATACTAGCCAGACAAGCTGCGGAACAAACATCTCTTGTGCTTTTGCTGCTATGTTTGTGTGAGCCTGAAGGCTAACAAACAGGCAGGGAGCTCTGGCCTGCTCAGTTAGGTACAATAATAGTTTCCACTAACGATGAAGCTAGAACTGGTGGAATTTTCACAAAGCCAAAAGCACAGATCAAAAAAATAAACCTTGGTTTCCTCTCACTCCTCCCTTACTGTCATTTAACCTTTGCAAAGATGGCAAAACACTGTGGAAGTAGCTGCAAAAACATCTTTTCTGAGGGAGAAAATTCTGGAAGATACCATTGGAATAGGGGCTGTGCTTTTGAAAATGACTGCCACATGCGCTTAACATTCTGCTGTGACAGCTGTAGGTGTGTTCTTATGGGCAGATATAGCAGAAGGCTTGGCTGAGCAGGACAAAGAAAATGATCTTTTGCAATTATGAGGGTTGCTCTGAAAGCGATGCCTCCTATTTTGTTATGTTGGTCCACGGCATCAGAGGCAGATGTTGGTGGTATGGCAGCAGAAGTTGAACCTTCCCACCAGTATCCCACCAGTTACATTTTGTTGCCATGTGACAGATGGCAGCACAGGGGCAGTCTGACAGAATGGCTGTTGTACAGCCTTTTGGAAAGGAAGTGACTCCATTTAGGTCATATCCACGTTCACTTGCAGCAAATATAATTCAAGCCATTAAAAAATGTAGATGTTTGATTTTTTTCTGTTTGAAATCCCACTAAAAATTCAAGACCTATTGCCATGACTTTTATCTAGATGCTCATGAACGTGAGAGCCTTGCTGTCTTCCCTTTTTACTCTGATTTTATAAAAATAGTTTCTGTTTGTCGCAACCATTTTTGGGATTATTAACTACCTTTACTGTGGCTGCACCAGCTCACTTCTAGCAGGAATAGACTATATGTACTGTATGTTCCACTGCTATGTTTTCTCCTCTCACTCTCTATGGAAAGATAAAAAGCCTTAAAACTGAATCACTACTTACTGCCTGGGACAGTTGTGTCACTGTAATGGGGCAGTAAGCATGAAGTTGACTCCTTATTTTTTACTGAACAAATGATAACCATGCTCCCTAGAGGATGCAGAAACCCAATATGTTAAGTGGCATCAGAGTTCTCAGAAATGCTCTCATTATCCCCAAAAACGAGATTGTATTTCTGGGATTTTTCTGAATTGAATTGAAGACTACAGTCTGAGTATTCAAAGATATTTCAGATAAAGTAGTGGTAACCCACATGCAGGAAAATCAGCCACCAGGCATTTTGATTCCCATGAAGGTTTTCATTATTGTTAGAACAAATATATGTGATTTCAACTTACAGATGGATTTCATGTAGTAAAAGACCTACAAAAATCAAACTTTAAACTTTTCACAGAATTACAGAATCACAGAATCACAGACCTGTAGGGGTTGGAAGGGACCTCCAGAGATCATCGAGTCCAACCCCCCTGCCAAAGCAGGTTCCCTACACCAGGTCGCACAAGTAGGTGTCCAGGCAGGTCTTGAATACCTCCAGAGGAGACTCCACCACCTCCCTGGGCAGCCTGTTCCAGTGCTCCATTACCCTCACTGTAAAGAAGTTCTTGCGCACATTTGTGTGGAACTTCCTATGCTGCAGTTTCTGGCTATTTCCCCTTGTCCTGCTGAAAAGTCCGGCCTCGCCACTCTGCCCCCCACACCTTAGATATTTATAAACCCTGGATCAGGTCCCCTCTCAGTCTTAAGGCTAAACAAACCCAGCTCACTCAGCCTTTCTTCATAGGGGAGATGCTCCAGGCCCTTCACCATCTTCGTGGCCCTCCGCTGGACTCTTTCCAAGAGATCCCTGTCTTTTTTGTACTGGGGAGCCCAGAACTGGACGCAGTACTCCAGATGAGGTCTTACCAGGGCAGAGTAGAGGGGGAGGATCACCTCCCTCGACCTGCTGGCCACGCTCTTTTTAATGCACCCCAGGATGCCATTGGCCTTTTTGGCCACGAGGGCACACTGCTGGCTCATGGCCAACCTGTCGTCCACCAGGACACCCAGGTCCCTTTCCGCAGAGCTCCTTTCCAGCAGCTCATCCCCCACTTGTACTGGTGCATGCAATTATCCCTCCCCAGATGCAAGACTCTACATTTGCTTTTGTTAAACCTCATCTGGTTTCTTACTGCCCAGCTCTCCAGCCTATCCAGGTCTCACTGAATGGCAGCACAGCCTTCAGGCGTGTCAGCCAATCTTCCGATCCTTCTTTGGAAATAAAATAATTTAAGAAGGTGAATCTAGCAATCAGTCTCAGACTCATAGAATAGAGTAGGGTATGGTGAGACTGAAAATAATATGGTGCCAAGGAGGTCAGCACTGAAAACAAGAAATGTATTTCAGTCCTTTGTCTTCTGAGCTACATAAGCATTTCTTTACATTTTCATAGTACATATTCTTATTAACAAAACAACTTACTAACTATCCTTTGTTTCTTTTCAGTGGGTTTTTGCTATTGCTTTATGTAGAGTACAGTAATGGAAAAAATATGTTCAATAAAAAGTGTGATAGATATTTCATATAAAAAACATCTGGACTGCCGAATATGTATCTATCTCCCTCACAACAAAAGCAACTTGTCAGTAACTGAGATCCAGACTGTGAAGACAGTAACTCCCAATTAATCCAATGCATGTTAAGTGCCTAAATAAGATTTTTAGACTAGTGGCCCTAGTGTGTATGATCTCTAAACTCATACCAACTCTTTCCAACAGCCATTCAAGAAAAGCACTTTAAGAAACAAGTTGGTCAGACAATAAAAGAAGACAATGTATCTAACAAGACTGCTGTTCAGGAAGGTGGACTTCTACTAGAGGTGAGTGACAAATGCCGTCATTTTGGGCTCTAAGTAATTTTTACTGTTCGGTAGACTCTGCGGGTTAATCTCTTGTGGCATTTTGGAACAGACCGTCTGTCTTGGAGTGAATCACTGAGGAATCAATCACGCTTGTGAGAGCTTCTTGCAGGAGTGATGCTGGCAGTCGTGGTCGTCTTGCTCAATCTGTTGGGCTTTTGCAGCCCTCCATCAGAAGAAGGGTTGTCCCTCAAGTCCTATGGGCCAGTTCACAGTTCTTAATCACTTGGGGTGAGAGCCAAGATATGTTGTACTTGGCACACATTTTGAGGGTACCAACAACAGCTTGCCAGGTTTCTGATCCGACCTAAGATTACTCTGGGATGTTTTAATTTATTCTACTTCCTGAACTCTGTGCTCTGAAGGAAGCAGTGTGTGGGGAAGTTATTCTTTCTATGTTTTTGTATCCCCTTTAAGATGACTTTGTATTGGCAGGGTGGTATGATACTGCTACTGAGAATTGGATCCATTAATCTGGATGAAGAATTAATACAGCTGTTAACTACTGAATCACAGATACACCTGCGTTTTAAACATATGATGTAATTGTGCCTTTTATGCACTTAAGATCCTTGGAAATTCCTATTTAATGAAGATTACATATGTATAGTTGAATTGGATAGAATAATATTTGTGGAATAAAAATCATGTTACAGTGACAGCCTTGAGATATAGTTAAATGTAAATTAAATAATAACCTTCAGCAAATGGATGCTATAGACTATTAGAGAGAAAAGAAAAAAGAAAACTTTTTTAGCATGGGAGCCAGTATGATAACTTCTACAAGTCTATGGAGTCAAAACTGGCACACTGCTTTTGTTCCTCCTCATACTTCAGAAGATTTTAATTTTGCATTTCAAAGCAAGTGGCACAGAGGCATTTGATTAATTAGCATGAGTGCCAAAATGGGATATTTGGCTGTCAGGTATTTTGCAACAATTTCCACTCTCTGGAGTAGTAAACACAAGGCAAACAGTGAATGATAAATATGGTGAATATATAATTTTTAATGATGTTCTCCTATCTTTAGACTATGCTTTGTTTGGTATATATTACATACCCACAATTTATAATCATTAAGGATCTTCAAACACATGGAGAGAACGCTGCCAGTAATTTCATATAGTGCCAAATATTACTGACTATGCTTATGGTCTGATATGAATCACACTCTTATTTGAATACATGGGAGACTTTTGTCCTGGATCATACTTAATATGGATCACTATCTTGATGATTAAGTGCATGTTGATATGAATGTGTTAGCCAGGAATGTTTGACCTAGAATAAAAGGGTGAGTTTTCCTTAGGACTTGTTGAGAATGTTCTCTGGGGCCTGAGTTTCACTCATCCAGATGCCATGGAATGTGATGAAGAGTGGGTTTGTGTTGTTTCATCAAATTTGCTATGTTAGTTGTTGGGGGCTGTGCACTTTTCACTAAGTGGTTGCATTTGTGATTCCTTCTGAAAAGAAGCAAACAGCCTTGCTGGCGGTGGCAATGTTTTATGCACTGACTTGTGTGTCTGGCCACTTTACTTGCTCTCAGAAGATGCTTTGCCACTGTCAAATGCTGCTTTCCTTTCATGACACCACTTCACACTTTGCAACCTCTCCTCGATGCTTTACTTAAATAAATCAGGATAATCTGAATCACCAAAATACATGTGAATAATAACGCTTCTAGCTGAAGCAATAATGGAGAAACAGAGATAATTGCATTTTTTTCCTGGTGTGGAGGATCACGTTTGCTCTATGTATAGGTAGAAATATGGAAGAACAAGACAGCTAATTACTGGTACATAATTTATCTGTGCCTCTCCAGCCTTGGAACAATGCAGTACTTCCCCTTTCAGCTTAAAAGAAAACAATGAAATTAGGCTGTCTTCAAAGTATGTTTAAAATGCTTTTTATTTCTAAAGGCCTGTGCCACAACATGTGTTTTTATTTAAGATTTTATAGAGATATTTTTACAGCTAAAATCAAATAGCTTTCATCAGCAATAATGAAATAAACAATGATACCAGTTTATCAAAGACTTTTTAGTGGAGCACAGCAGGTATCTAAATATGTAATTTCTTCCAGAGTTTTAAGTTTAAGGATCAGTTCTTCTGAGTAAAAGAGTCTTTTTTGCCATAATTTAGTTTTCATTTGAAAGAAGACAAAGAAAGCCCTAATGACCAAATCCGATTTTATTAATGGTCTTTTTCAGTATATTCCATTCTTTCAATCTTTGCTCTTCTTGGAGACTTCGGACACCAACAGTTTGACTACGGTAATGATTTTGCACTCTTGTAATGTTTTCCAAGACAGGTGGTATTGCAGCCCTTGTTCCACATGCCTTCCTGCAAAAAAAGGCTGCATGCCATTTCTGAAGCCTGTTACTGAATGTTTAAAGAGCGCTGGGCCAAACCTGTAACCAGAAAAGTGGGAGAATAAGTTGTATTGGCAGTCAGTAAATCCAGATAGAATTTACAGGGTGCGGTGATGGGGTGGAGAAACGCAGTAAAATGGTTACTTGGAAAAATGAAAATGAATCACCAGTAGTTATTTAGGCACTAGCCTTGACGGCAGTACTCATCCTGTGGCTGTTAGCCATCTCATACTCTTCCCCCCAGCTATGCTGCTCTCAAATCCAGGCTGAGTTTAGGCTGTAGTGTAGGTAATATCTCATCCCAAGAGCATCTCTAATTTCCACGTATTATGCACTATCCCATCTGAGGAATTAAACACCCACTGTTGAGAGGATGGCCCTCTCTGGACATTCTTTATCATGCAGTCAGGCAGTGGCCCATTGTCACTGCTGGTGCTGCTTCTTGCTTAAACATCACCCATCTACTGAGCTGCACCTGATGAAAATTGTTACTTTGCTTTTATGGCCCACCTCAACGCTGCTTCTGCAGCATTCATGCTCTTTATGAAAGTATTTGCTACTGAGGGAGCAATCTTTGTGGTGCTTCCTTCTGCAGCACAGGATTTATGGTGTCTCTGTCTCCAGACATACGGACATAATTCCTTACAGGTGTGAAAATAGTACTTTATGCCCAAAACATCACGAGTATTAAAATGAAATCTGGATGATCTGTCCAGCTCCTTAGTAGATGTTAATGGAATAAGACTGCCTGGGTCTGTCATGCATTATCTCACTGATGAATACTGATAAAGGCCAGAGCTGTCCTGTTTAGCCATTTCCATGTTCACTGGCAACTCATGCTCTTTTAGGGAAGGCCCATTTTGATTTCTGTTAATCCTCAACTTTTAAGCCTTCTGAGTACAGAAACCAAATTTCAGTGATTTTGTCTCATGTTCTGGTTTATAGCTGTGCCAAAGAGGCATCATACTATAATAATATTTCTTAATTCAGTGATACCATACATTTACCCGTGTTGAGCAGAGATTTAGCTATGTATACTTCAGTTACTATTTCCCTGCTAAAAACAAATGATGACATAGGTGAATAAGAAAGTAGTGAATTTGATTGCTGTTTTGCCACAAAACCCTAGTGTGGGAGAAGAAATGCAAAGGTCTTTCAGGCATAATCTGAATTTCAACCTGAATGGGTGACTGCAGGTTTAATATATCTGTGTGCTGAAGAGAAAGAGCCCCATAGCCTGTATTTCTCTACATAGAGTGATAACAGGCTTACAAAAGCCTGCCTGGCATCCACTGATGTCAAAAATCACCTGCTCTTTCAGTTGAACCATGTTCACCTTCCTGCACCCCTCTCCACTGTTCTGGAGCAGCTGGTGGTGAGTAACTACTTCGATCTTTATTCATGTTAGCTTGCTGGGACACTAAGCTCAGGAGGCCCATGTTGCTGCTGGGTACTCTTAGATGTCATTATGCCTATGAAAGAGACTTCTATTGTTCTGCACAAACACAAAAAATACCTCTCAGTTTTCACCAGTGGCAGAAAAAAAGAAGTTATTGACATTTTGTGCATTAACTAACAAAGTCTCTATGGCAAATGGAGTTTTCATGTTCTATTTGTATGCCTTTGTTTCAGCACTTGGCAGATGAATTTTGCTGCCTTGAGTTGCAGTTAACACAACTAGTGGGGCAAATGAGGTGTCTTGCTTTGTAACCAGCACCATATGCGCTTGCAATGGGCTGTTGATGCAAAACAGAAAGCAGAGTCAGGTGTAGAGCTGCAGTCTTCACCAAAACCAATGGAAAGCCAGTTGGAGTTTTTGCCTAAGTAGAGGATTCAGGATTTAATGCAATGGAATCCTATTATTTAACAATCTGTAGTTACATCAGAAGTGACTGCAAATAGTAAGATTTCTGGGAGTTACTTTCAAAAGGGAGGTGTATGTACACATTTGGCACAGAAAGGTACTTCCAGGTGGCCTCTACTGACAGTTTGAACTGGAGTTCAAGTTTCATTCCAAGGGAGTTGGAAAATGATACATTAGAAAACATCCTATTGGTGCTGTTCTTCACCCTGCTTAAGGAAATAACATAGGAAACCTTTTCCCACTTGGTTTCCTGTAATTTTTTTAAACTTGTTAGTGTAATTCCACTTCCTCCTTCCAAACTGATTTATGTAATCAGTACTTGATAAAACTATGCTCTTGAAAAAGGTACACTAGGTTGAATTTCAGTCTGAGAGCAAAAGATTTGACTCTTCCTGTTATTTTTTAATTTAAACTTGAAAAGGAAGATTGGGAGTCAGACAAAAGTGCACGGCTGTTACACAGGGCTGTGACCAAGGCACAGACTTCAGAACTCGGAAGCTGGTAGAGAGGAACTTTTTGATTTATTCTGCTCTTGAATTCCTTTTCAGCTTTCGACGGCGCTTTCTTTCTCACCGCAGTCCTTCTAAAATAAAGCTGTTAGGTTATGATACGCAGCTTCACCTTTTAATTTGCAGGCTTAAAATGCAGCCACCAAAATAGGAAGTTCTCACAAAGCGTTCTTGGTCTTGGTGCATTTTCTTTCTCAGTTAATAAGTTTTACAAGTT